AGAATTGGAAATCAGAGTACTTTTGAAAGTTAATGTTCCCAAGAGGGAAGATTAGTTTACTAGGGAGCGGTAAGGGGTGAGAGGGGAGATAGGAAGTTATTGACTGTAATTCAAGCAACTGTTGATAAGGACCTTGAGATTAGGTGGGATGGAGGTAGAATGCACAGCATGTGGTGACTGCCTTTTTGTTAGGTGCTGTCTAGAGTTTACTCATTGCAATGCTGTGAACAACAGATCTGAACTTAATCCTATCCTTTGCCATCATCATCGTTCATATAATCAAGCCTATTGCAGCAGTCACTGTCAGTCTATCTTGTTCAATGTCTTCCTCTCTTTCACTGTTCCTCTACCTTTCCCAGCATGATGTCTTTTTCCAAGGACTTGCCCCCTCCTAACATCATGCTGAAGGTGAAGTTCTGCCATCCTTTCTGTTAAGGGGCACTCTGGTTGTCCTTCTCAAAGTCCTATTTGTTTGTTCTTTCTGACAGTCCATGGAATTCAGCTTTGTTTCGGTGGAACAACCTAAGTTATTACTATTGAACAGTACATTTCTGCCTGCAGTTTGAAAATCATTTCTCATCTCACATTGAGATTAGACAGTTAGGTGTATATATATGAAATTCATAGTCCAGAGGTTCCCCTCCCCCCACTGTAGAATCATAGATTGGATGAACTTATTTGTAACTTCCTTTTTAATTACTACCACCACAGACATGTTTGGACAAAGGGTCTTTTATTTAAAAGTGAAGGAATTAAACTAATTACTCCCATATAAAGAAGAAAATCTGTTAATTCTTCACCAGTTTTTGACCTTACCAGAAAACCTTCTGAGGAATCTGGAACATGATGGTAAAAAGAGCAAGGCCCATGTGGGGACAGCCATATATGACCTTTATCTACTTCACAAAAGGAAACTGTCTCATCAACAGGATCAGTTAACCCAAAACCAATTCCCATGAGGTGAGACACATTCACCATGATTCTATACCTCTTTGTACTCATCTTAGCACCAGTCATACTGCTTACTGCTTATCTGGTTCAGGATCGGATGTGATAGCTCACAGACCACGCAGAACCATTTTGGGGAAATTAAAATGTTATAACCCACACTTTATTATGCCTGCTTTTAGTCGTGGTTGTCTGTGCTCCCAGCACCCACAGATGGGCTGTACACCAATAGAACAGACATGAGAAGAACAGTGGTAGCCATGCTTGGACTGCAGCTGCTGCTCCTCCCCACGTAGATTTATTCAGATAAGCTGCCATGCCACAATCAAGTAATTCTTCTTGTATACCTCGGTTGCCACACAGTTGTTCAACATGACCACCAAGGGAAGTGGAAGTCCTCTGCATTGCACAGCCATTCTCCTTGTGGTCTTGTTCTCCCTTCTACATCTCTTCTGTTAGAAGACTCGGACCAAGAAATACCTCTACTTCTCCATCTTCTCAACTCAATCCAAATGGTGTCTAGAAATCCAGTATGGCAAGGAAATCCTTTATCTCCAGTAAATCTACTGATTCCACACTTTATTTTATTGACTCAGAGAATCTCTTTTGAGAATCTCTGATTTTACTGATTTTAAGAACTTGACTAGATGATGAGTGCTAATGTCTTATGTGTTCGAGTTTCCTGTACCAGATGAAGAACAACAATGCTCACAGATCTGGAGATGATTTCCTTAAATGTGGCCTAGGAAATCTGGACACGTAAAACTACTTTAAAAAACCCAGAAAAGCACACAACCATTTTATCTAGAAAAAGCTTCCATGGTTCTGTTTATATGTACATTGGAAAGTAACTCCAGATGTTTTTGTAAATCCTCCATATATTGTTTTAGCAGTACTAATTTGCTGCTGGTAAACCTAAAAGAAAGTTTCTCATTGTTACACGATCATTGTTTTCTTGAGAACTGAACTCTTCTTTGAGGTTTTGGGATTGACATTGCGTTTGACTTTTTATGTAGTTGACATGTATCAGGGAATGATGGACTGGAATTTAGCCCAGATTGAAACATAATGAGTAAATATTGCTCATACATTTATAAGGTCTCATGGTAGGCATTTCACATCACCTGTTCCCAGTTAACAAAAGCTCCAGATTCAGTGAGCTAAACTGATTCCAAAGAGTAGACAGTGTACTGACCTAAATGAATTAAAAATGTTGCTTTTCATTTCTGCATATGTTAAATATTTTTTACAGTTTAAAAATCCATCTGTTTTAAGATCAAGCAAACAAAAACTTAGATATTAAAAAGGCAAAAATGAAGGACACAAACATAATGTAAATCAAGAATTTGAGAAGTGATTCATGGAAGCTGGTCTTCATTAAATCCACAAATTTTTAATACTTTTATTTTAAAATACTTTTTTTATACTTTTATTTTTAAAAAAATACTTTTTTAACTTTTTGAATCAGAATAGTCACATTTGAAACAATTTCTGACTTTTTTATTATGTTAACATTTTTAATTTTTCATTTTGTTATTTTTACATTGTTAGAATCTGGTCTTAATATGAGCTTGATTCTGGAAAGTAAATCTTTTACAACTACCTTGATGCACAGAAACTTTTTAAAATAGACACTGCATAGTGCCTTTTTTTCACATGGTCATGCACTGATGCTTAGATGTTCCGTATATCTAATATGAACACAGTAGTTTTGATAACCAGAGTCATTTCACCCCCATGGTTAGAAAAAACCAGGTTCAACAAATCTCAAGCTACTGTGTGGGTGAATGAACATTCCCTTTTGCTTAGTACCTGAATGTTATGCATCTTTTTGAATTGTATATTGTGTTTTATTTATTTATGCTTTGATTCAAAGTAACTTCTCATGTTATGGAATTGATTTGCATTGAACACAAGCAGTAAATAAAAATAAATGGCTGAAAGAAAAAAGGTTATAATCCAGATTGATAACAGAATAAAGTCAAGATTGCTCCCATTATGTGCACACAGGCACCTCAGCCTCCTCACAGTTTTTGGCTAGTGTTCTCAAATTTAGTCCTGCTGAGATTGGCTTTCCACCCTCAGTTCTCCAACAGAGTTCTCAGTCCTGCCAGTACTGGCTCTCCACTGCTAAGATTCGCTCTTACTTTAGGTCTCTGGATTTGGTATGTGTTGTGGCCATAGATAATAGCTGGAGCAAGAAGGGCATCCTCCATTCTCTTGTTTCATGTTCAGTGATATTAGAAGACCTGTGTGCCTCCTGCTGCTAGCTTACTCAATTCAGTGGTGAGACTAGCCAGTCCCTTTGTGATTGAGTGTTGAGACTAGCCATTCCCCTTGCGAAATGAATGGTAAATAGCCATTCCCCTTATGGATAGGCTAACATGCCCCATTCACATATTCCCACCCATCTATATATAACAAAGTCAAATAATGTCTAGCTAAAGTCATATTAAAAGATAAACTCAGCAGATGGATATTCTCTACTCCCCATTTCACCAAGTCCTCCCCATCTGTCTACTGAGATGCCCTTGGTTTCCTCTGCTTCATCCTCCATTTTATCTCTCTGGGTTTTTTCTTCCCTTGTCCCAAAGAGTCTTATTTGAACCATGTGCATGGATTTTTCCTAAGCTGAGGGGCCCACTGAGCTTCAACTTCCATAGGTATACAATATCAACCTGCAAGGCAGTCTTAAGAATGTAGGCTTGCAATTTGTTTTCTAATTCTCTTTTTGTTCCTGTACCTGCTCACTGTTGGGGGGGAAAAAAAAGACCGGTTTAAGCCAGCTATGCAAACTTATACCCATACCACCTTTTACCTCTCAAACTTTCTTTAAAAGTTTGGGATACTTTGCCTAGTGAAAATTATGTTTATTATTTGGGAATAGTCATGCACTTGACTGTGGGAATCATCACAAATTATAGATAATTTTTAGAAGAATGAGAATCGGTATATTGTGTTCATGTAAAACCTGTACATGGAAGTAATTGTCCTGATAGAACAGTACTGCCTGGTTTAAAATCATGAAAGATGTGTGTCAGAGTTTTATCTCTTCCCCAGACCTATTTGGTCTCTATGCCGAGCAGATTATTAAAGAAGCTGGACTATATGAAGAATATGGCATCAGAATGGGAGGAAGACTCATTAGTAGCTTGCATAATGCTAATGACATAGTTTGCTTGCAGAAAGTGAGAAAACTTGAAGCATTTATTATAGAATATAAAAGAGTGTGTCCTTCAATATTGGGTTGTATCTCAACATTGAAGAAAACAAAAATTCTCACCACTAGATGAGAAGATTGTTCCTCATAGATGGAGAAAAGATAGAAGAAGTTGTCATGAATTGAATTTTCCTTGGATCCATAATTAACATCCATGGTCAAGCAGTCAAGAAAACAGAATGTGTATTACATTGGGAAAATCTACTGTCAGTGACTTCTTTAAACTGCTAAGAAGCAACAATGCCACTTTAAAAACTAAAGTGTACCTGATCCAAGCCATAGTATTTTTAATTGTTTCCAGTGCATCTTAAAGTTGGACAGTGAATAAGGATGAAAGAAGAATTGGTGCTTTTGAATTGTGGTGTTAGCAAAGAATATTAATTATCCCATGGACTGCTAAAGGAAAAAACAAATCTGTCTTGAGGAGGTACATCCAGGTTTCTCGTTAGAGGCACAGATGAGGAAATTTTGTTTCATATACTTCGAGCATATTATCAGGAGGGGCCAGTTCTTGGAAATGACATCATGCTGGGAAAGAAAGACCATTCAGGAGATGAATTAGTGTAGTGTCAATAACTGGGTTTGTGCATGTGGAAGGACGGGATAGGACAGGCAGTTAAAAATCTGTTGTTTGTAGAGTTGTATGAGTTGTGGCCAACTTTGATGGTATCTAACAACAGTGTCCTTGGGATTACACATAGGGATTTTATGACTTTCTTTACTAGATATTTGGTTTCCATAGTATTTGCAGTGACTGCTTTCTTTAAATAATTTTGTAGAAGATATTCCTAGTTTTTATGCACTTAAAGTTTTCTTTTTTTACTCTATTTAGGTGGATCTTTTGCGAGCAGGGGAAGTTCCTAAACCTTTTCCAACATACTATAAAGATATATGGGATAACAAGCATGTTAAAATGCCTTGTTCAGAACAAAACTTGTACCCAGTGGAAGATGAGGTGAGAACAAAACTAACACTTTTTTAGTCTCTGAAAGATGTTAGTACTTACCTTTTTTATTTCAAATTCTATAATAGCTAAGAAAATTGGATTTATTTTTTTGTGTGTTTCTCTTTTCTGAAAGAATGGTGAGCGAACTGCAGGGAGCCGGTGGGAACTGATTCAGACCTCACTTCTCAACAAATTTACAAGGCCTCAAAACCTGAAGGTAAGTTCTTTTTGACATGCTATTCTCTTACACATAGTTTCTGTCGATGGGCCCTGTGTTTCTTCCTGCAAAGCTATTTTTGTCCTTAATAGAATCATTTACTGGCATTGTTTATACTTAAAGTATAAGCAAAGATTGCTGGGGATTCTCCCCTTAGAGACATTCTTGGTTTTCACTGCATTTCAAGGAAAAGATTAGAAGAACTGAAGAGTTGTAAATGGTTTGCTTGGAGTCATACAGAATATACTTGTATTACGTTGTAAGCTGTTCTGTGCTTTTGAGTCTCTTCTGACTTATAATGAACCCATCTGACAGTAGAACTATCTCATCGACTTTCCTCAGCTGTAATCTTTACAGGAGTAAATGCCCTGATCTCTCTCCCACATAGTGGCTAGTGGAGTCACATCACCAACCTTTTATTTACCTGCTGAGTACTTAACAGTATTACACCACCAGGTTTGACATACCTTGACATACCTATATTTGAGTATTTTGTTTGATGACTCAAATCTTACCACCATTTTTTGTCTATTTAAAGAACCTACTCCTACAGTGTGCCATTATTTAGCCTCCCTCTCTATCCCTGTAAACCTCAGTTACAAGTTCACAAATGCAAAAGCAGACCACTTGAAAATACTACCCAGCCTTCATTGGAGAATCACTGTCTTAGGACCTTTATGATCTCATAAACAGGGTTTTTTTTAAAAAAAATTTTTCTCCATGATTACTTTGGAAAGAGGTAATCACTTTAATCCCTTTTTGCTCATTTTTATTGTAGACTCAATAGAACCAGTTAAGCCATGCAGATCTTCTTTTGTCTGCTTATGTCAATTGTTTATTTTACTGAGAGAGAAAGAGGGAAACAGTAAGTTTCTAATTGAATATAATGGCCTTTTAGCTGTTTATGTGAGATTTGATGGTAGATTAGGGACTCTTTCACAATTTAAGAAGCAACAGTGCCCTCAAAGTTTATTGAAACAATGATATTTCTACAAATGATACATCTGATTATTTGGGCACCATGGGCTTCTTAGTGCTTTAACAAATAATTAATTTGATCTGAAAAAGAGTCAGTGATTAATTGAACGCAGACTAGCCTAGCTCCCAGTATTATTAACAATAACAGACGTCACTAGGAGGCTACTTTGAGACTTAAAGACAAAAGTAAACCCAAATATTAGTTAATGATAGTTATAAAAAACTAGAGTGCACATGACATTTATGGTGTTTTTTTAAAATCAACTTTGAGGAGTGTTTACATAGAAGAACATGAATCCTTATAAGTGTATATAATTTGACTCTTTTGTATACCTATAAAGTAATCTAAAGATTCCTCTTATCCCTTTGCAGTCAGATCCTTTTTTTTTTTACCATCCCCATGTGACTTACTGATGTACCTATTCCTCCACTATAGATTATTGTTGGGCTTTTCTGGGATTTTTTATTTTTGCTTCTATTTTTTTTATTCTGATTTACAAAGTTTTAGTACATTGTATAACACAAAAGATCCTTCCCATTTCCTTCACCCTACCCACCCATCAAATTGTGTAACTCTATGATTAACACCCTACCCCCATCCTCACACCTCTATTTCCACCCTATACCCCTCTGCCCCCTGCCTTGGCTCCTCATACTCATTCTACAATAATGGTTTTTATACAGTATTTGTCCTTTTGGGACTGAGTTCACTCACCATAATGTTCTTTAGTCTCTCCCAAATTAGGTAGTAATTTACAAAATGATTGCTCTTGCCTGCTGCATAGTATTCTATTGTATGAATATACCACAACTTCTTAATCCATTCTTTTGTGGTTGGACATCTGGGCTATTTCCATGTTCTTACAGTGGTGAATAATGTTGCTATGCACATTGGTGTACAAATCTCCGTATGTGTCTCAGTTCTCATCTGCAGCCCTCAGGCCTGCCTTTACTTGTTTTTGGTGAAACAATCTTTTAGGTCATATAACTCTGATATGTTCACTTGCTGTACAGAGTTATCTCGTGGTTGCTGTGAAGCTGAACACTGTGACACTGATGTGTCAGATGTGAGAATGATTACCCATGGTGGAACACTGGGACACTGATGTGTCAAATGTGAGAATGGTTACCCATGGTGGACAGTGTTTGGTGGAGCTCCCTGATTAAAACAAACTTGGAAGCAGGAGTGGCATCCACTTCCGTAATAGCTTGCCTCTCTGGAAACCCTCTGAACCTGGAGAAAGGACAAAAGCTATACAGGTGTCCAGGTCTTTTGTTCATAGTGTAACCATGAGTTACCTCTGATTCAATGACACTTTTTTTTTTTTTTTTTTTTTTGCTTCTCTGAGTATTTATTTAGAATCATAAGGATGGTAAGCAAAGTAAAATCACAAGGAAGTACAAAGCAAAAACAAAGGATAATGGTGAAATTTTTTACAGATAAGGCCAAGTTCCTCTTTATGTTAATCTCAAGAGGGAGGGATTCATTTGACACAAACTTAAGAACCAATGTTGACTCCTAGGGAATGCCCCAGTCTCACAAGGTGACCTTCAGCTTGTATTAAGCTTCCCTCATTTCTCGATACAGCATTTGGTCTACTATTATTAAATTTGATATTGATTCGATGACACTTAACAACAACAACATATTCCAAGTAGTGGAATAGTTGGGTCATATGGATTTCTATGTTCAACTTTTTGAGGAGGCACCAAACTGCCTTCCAGAGTGATTGTACCATTTTACAATCCCACCAATAATGTAGAAGAGGTCCTTTCTTGCCACATCTTCTCCAACATTTATTACTTGCTCTCTTGTTAAACCTTGCCACTGCTACTGGAGTGAGATGGTATGTCATTGTGGTTTTGATTTGCATATAGATTAGTTTTAATACTAATATAAACAGAATAATATAGTAAGTATGCTATTGTATCTGCCTTCTTTAAGTCACGTTAAAGAATTTGCAGACTCTTCCATAATGAGTATGTCAGTAGTTCATTACTGAGTAGTAAGTATTCAAATCTATGTATGTATATATATCTAGCTTATCCATTCATCTGTTGATGAACATTGCTATTAAATAGTTTATGTGAATTCTTAAATCAGATACCAGATATTGGGAAAAATTAATTAACAGCTTATAATTCTTTGTTATAGCTATGAGAGAAAAGTCTGTTATTTTGTAGTTGGTTCTTTTTCGTTATTGAAGGAATTTGAATATTTTCTGATTGTAAGTAATTAATAAATATTTTATTGAATTTCTTTTTCATCTAAATGCATGTAATGTTCTGAGTTTTTTGACAGAATGTTAGTTTATAAAAACTATTAATGGTAAGGCGTTTTGTAGTAAAACTCTGATGCTGTGATTTTTTTGGTATTATGTTTTCCTTTAGTTAAAAAAATCTTACTATATTTTACCAGTCCACATAGGTTATGAATTCTCCATATTTAAATATTATCAATATTTAAAATGTTTTTTGTTTTCAACCTTATCAGTCTTTTTTAAGTGAGATAGAATGTAGTAGTAAATAATAGTGCTGTCTGTATAACTAATGATATGTCTTAATACTTGTCTCATTCTGGAAACACCTTATTCAGACGGTAAAAAGTTGCATCAGTGTATGGCAATCAGTATGTAGTATACTATTTGGACTTTCCTTTTCTGTATAAATGTAATAGATGTGAAATACTGGTGGAGAATGACTGTTTATATTTAACTTTTAAAAGTAAAAACCATAAAAAACTCATTTTATGCATTACAGCAATGCTTGTTAAGCCCTCCCATCCTCCCATTATTGCCCTCTCCCACAGGAGGCTTTTCAGACATTTTCCCCTAATTTCTTTCACTTTCGTCCATCTACCATAAAAAATGTAAGACTACTAATGGGTTTGGATATGTAATAAAACCCTATGGAGTATATTTTATACTGTTTGTTTTTGTGTTTAGGGTTTTTTTTTCCCCCTTTTAAATCTCCAAAGATCTAGTTTTTACCAGCTTGTAGTAATACCATCATTGAAAATGCTTCCTTTTGTGCAGTTATAATGCTTTCCCCCTATTGCTTGACTTTTATAATAACATTTTTCTTAAGCAAATAATAAATTAAGGTGCATAATAGTACACGTCCATGACTTCTAATACAGAGTAGTTCATTAAAGGAGGAAGCTTTTCTGGCTTTAAGAAATTTACCAAGAGAAATTTCCCATAAAGGAGTCAGCATTCCTTAGATTATACTTTACTATATCATGAAATTTTATTTATGCTTTTTCCGTAGGATGCTATACTGAAATACAATGTGGCATATTCTAAGAAATGGGACTTTACAGCTTTGATTGATTTTTGGGATAAGGTAAAAGTATGCTAATTTCTTTAATTATGAAAAGAATGTGATAACACTTAAGAAATTTTGGAAGAAATAACTATAGTCCTGTGATATTTATTTGTCATCTTTTGTTTTTGTGGATTTACTATTATTTTATATGAATGCCCATTTAATTTGAAATAAGTTATTAAAA